CTCGCACGGTAGCACTAGGGCAAACGGTAGGATACAAGTCGCTTCAGGCACCACCTGGTTGGGTACGCCGCCACGGGCTGAATCATTTCTAGCAAATTATAAGTAATTTCATTACATATACAACTCTAACGCGACCAGCGCAACTGATTTTGTGCGCCTCCTCCCCCGCGAGATGCAGATAGCGCCGCGAGCGCGCCGCGTGATCGCCGCGGGAACTGCTGTCGCGCTGATGGTGAGATGGAGGGGGGGGAGACGCGCCGCGCCGACGCCTCGTCGTTTGCTCTTTCGTGGGAAGCGAGCGCCTGTTGAGATGTTCGTGTAGATTCCGTTTCTTCGAGCAGACCCCTCATCAGACCGGATGAGCTTTAATAGATTCAGAGGGGGTTTGTCGTTTTCTTATGCTATTATTCTTTTTTTGTCGATCTTTTCAAATCTTGATCTTGATTGTGAATTCATTTTTTGAAGATATTTAATTTATTCTTGTGATAATTTTCCTTTTACAATAATAATGGTACACTTAGTTATTTACTTTAACTCATTTTCTGTGTGCATATTTACTGTTATCTATACATCGTTTTTTATAAGAAATGAAATTGCATTATTTGCTATGAAGGCGACTTTTTACCAGTCCTCCTGCTCACTGTGACTATATTACCAAGTCTGCTATAAGGTATATAACAAGGACTGATTTAATCAATCTACCCATTAGGCTCTCGGATTTAAGTTTTAATTTTTATAAATTGTGTATTGTCAACACTCGCCGTCAGAAAACGCAAATTTTATAGACGTTAGCGAATAATTCTAATCTTACAAGTTATAGTATTTTGATAGAAAGGGCATTTTTCGTTATTCCTTCTGAATTTTTGAGCAGTTCTGAGAAAATTAATATCATAAATAGTGTTGACGATTAAACAAGGCCGAAATATTGGATAAAATTTCTTCGTGCTTCCAGTAACAACTCTAACAAATTCTTCTAAATATGATTTTGTGATTAATTGTTTATATTGAATTTTTGGGTTCGAGAACAACTAAGAATGTTGTCCCTTAAGTGTAGTTTACCTTATATCGATCGGTGGGACACTGATTTGCACTGATCCAGTGAAAAATTTCACAATTTCAGATATTCAACAAATACCAAAAACACTCTTATTTCGGGCCAGCTCAAGTCATAAGGCTTGCTCCTATGTCTGACGACTAAATTGAATTTCTTTTCGGGCTTTAGTTGGCACATATGTCTGATTATCACCATTATAATGTTACCGTAAACGAAATTACACTAAAGCTCGAGAGAGCATGATTTCAAATAACTCATGAATTAGCGAAAGCAAAAAATCACATAAATAGATTTATTTAAATAGCTAATATTGAGAGCTGACAAATATATTTTCTTGAGAAGGTTTTAAGAATTTGATGGTAATTCAATTCCAAATTATTTAAAACCCATTCGACTGTGAAGATTTTAAAAATGGTAGACCTTTTATTCAATGAAATGTATACAAACTCATTCAAAGAAGGCTAACTCTTGAAACAAAATGTTTAATGAGCATTTTAAAATTTGAATAATTTTGCTCATGCTATTAGGTTTTGGGGATAAAATATCTGAGTGCAAACAAATTCTTAGATGAAATATGTAGCATCCAGATATTCCACTTCATTGAAAAGAGAACATTTGACGTCAGTCTAACTGATTTTGATCCGAAACAACAAAACTTGAACGTAATTATAACCATAAGCAGCATGGAAGGTCACATTAATTTTAAATCTTTATTTCGTAGATAAAAGCATTTTCAAATTATATTTGTTGCAAATGTAACAAGTAAGATCTGAGAATTACTGTACATTTTTGGATGATAAATTTGTATTGTTCTCCACCTCTTGTTGCTTTGGAAATGTGGCTCGCAATTAATGAAGGTAGGAGACTTTTCTTTCGCCGGGTGCCAGTGGCCATTGCGTACGTTCTCCCTATTCAAGAAAAAACTAAACAAAAAACAATGCCATAAATTCAGATGTCCCCTAATTAGGTATTTAGATTTAAAATATTAAAATTTACTGATTTACAAAATATCGACCAGAACAATTATCATTATTGTGTATTGCGCAAGATACAAATATATAAGTCATGTATAAATATTTTACACTATAATGATCACATTTATTAGTGTTGGATTCGTAAACGAATATATCGAAGAACGTTTCAAACAAATTACTAAAGAATTGAAAATATATTACCTACTTTACTGAAATTTACTTGTTCTTATTTTGTACCTCCTTTACTGAATTTTACTTGTATCTTATTTTTTTATCTTAATAAATTAAAGCTTGAACAACGTAGCGTGTAGTCACACATACAATTACATAAATAAAAAAGTAAATATTGTTTGTAATACTCACGTAGTCGAATGTGACGGCGTTCACGAACAATACAATTTTTCAAGAAAGTTCAATAACGTAACAATCACTACATGTACTTATGAGCACTGAAATCAGTGTTTGGAAAGCGCATACATATATACGATTATGTGAATGTAAATTGGACGACTGACGATCCATCAATAATACGTTCTTTGAATTGAAATAATTAGTCTTTTTGTGGCTTCCATACAGCAGAAAACTGATGATGGCTAAGCCATCGAAAGCTGCTTTTTTAATAAATAATATTGTTGGCAATGATGACGCATATAATTATTTCATTAGAAATTCCGACTAAAACTCACCACAACACCTATGTTCTTTGAATTGTCAAATTTCACTCACGGCCTTCCCTGAAGTGTCGTATCCACACTGTAATGTAATTTGCATGTGTTATTATACAATATTGAACACTATTATTTATGTGACTAGACATTCTCAATTAGTCAAACATTCCAAGCACAAAATAAGAAACGGGGAACCCCTACAAGCCAGTACAGACAGGTTTGCCAGCCACTACAATGAGCAAGATGCCATTATTGTACATTTAAAGAAGTCATCAGAGAATAATGAAAGATTCTGTGATCATTTCAATCGGCCCGAATCGTAGTGGCGACAAAAATATGAAATAGTTCAAATTTTTACGAGATGTTATTATTCTTTATTGTGAAACTATTCCGACTCCTTAATGTGCCGACAGGGGCAGGTCTCCCCTCCCACCCCACTACGATATTGGTTTGGCACTTAGGTAATTTGAACGAAAAGTGGCAACGTGTAAGCTATGGCAATGCAAGGGGAGGCTCATCAGAGCTGTAAATTACAATTCCTTTAATTGACTATTGGGAAATAGTTAAACGTCACAAACAAGAGGTTCTCCACGCCATCTAACAAACGTGTAAATGGTTTAACATGAAAATATCGTTGTATTTATTAACTGTGCCATTAAAGTTATAATTCCATTCTCATTGTAGTATGTATTACTTAATTACCAGCAAAAATGGGAATAAAGATTGAATGACCCAGAAAAAAAGTTTCTCTCCTTTTCTTTTAGACTGCCTGTCTGTGGTCGTCGATGTCCCCAGTTTATTGGTATTCGTACAAGAAACGCAACATTATTTCCAGTTCCATAACCGAAGGATTTTTCGAATTAAGAGTATTTCACTTCAATTTTCTCCTTATTCCCAATGTGATATCGATTTAGTTAAATAATATTCAAACGATTTATATATAATATTTTAATTGATACCTTTATTTAATTACAAATTGAAAACTACTTATATTCATACTTGACAGCACACAACCATTTTATAACCAACTTTTACATAGTTACACATCCACATTAAGATCAACTTTCAAACTGTAACAGTAAAGGCACACTTCCCTGATATTTATATCATTCAGAAAATGCATGAAAGATTTTAAAAAAAGAAAAAAAACTTCATTAACAGTCCAGTCTATCTTTCTTCATTTTTACATACTACGTTATATACGGTATATACACTTGGTATAAGAAACTATATTCCTTGATTTTGAACTGTATTGAAACGTTCAGTGCAAGCATCAGCTGCAGAAGGCTGCTCCTGAAGCAAATATTCTTCATGTGAAGATGCACTTCACTTCAGGATACGGTGACTAGTTTCAGTGCAATCAGCTTTGGCACGAAATGACACGACTCTGCCGCACGCCTCAAGACGCAAGGGCTACCGGGACAGCGAGCTCATTCTCTGGAAGACTGCGAACTTCGGATGCACGAGGGCAATTGACGAAGGTCTTCGAATGTAGTGATTAACATTAAACGATATGATTAAGGGTATTGTGGCGTAAGAAACATGCGATTGTTACTCGAGTTCCTGAATTTTTAAATAGACAAATCAATTTTGATGTAATTGTCCATATCCATTCTTAGCATGTTTGTACTCTAGAATTTAATTGCATTCTTATTCTTGCTGTACGGAGTCGGAGTAGCATTCTCGCAAATTCAATGAAATTATGATCACTTGTATATAATATTAAATTGTTAATTGGGAAGAAACGCATCATATTTTTATAAATAACTATGTACGTTATTTTGATTCGTACATATGCCATAGATTTGAAAATTAAGATCCTAGGAAACGTAATTCGAGTTTACTAGTCATATATTCATTTGCGCAAACCATTAAAAAATAGTTCATTGAAATTTGTATCAACCCAAATCATACTCACAGATTACTAATAAAACAATGTGGTTCTTTCCACATTTATTGAAGAATTCTAGTGATCTTTGCGAACTGAATTAGCTACAATCCGAAGCACGGTTCCTAGATTACCTTGTAACAACAAACGCATTGAATTACTGAGAAAAAAAGATCTCATATTTTGTGGGTAATTTTATAATTTACTCTTGTATTTTTGTCCCTGAATAGTATTTAGTTAATTCTCGCGATCTCCTGACCAGCGCAAGTCAATTGCAATAGCACGGATTAAATTCCATGGCAACGCAATGAACGAACGGAACGCGAAGTCGTGAAGTCGCGAAATGGCGGCCGCCGTCGCGCGTCAGCTGTCCTTGCGGTTGGGGCGCGCCCCCGCCAGGCGGCGTGCGCGGCGCCTCAGACGCGTCTGTTCTGGCGGCGGCGGCGCTGCAGCGCCTGGTGGTGCATGGTGAGGCCGGCGATGACGGTGGCGAGAAAAATGACGCCGACGGCGCACAGTGCGATCAGCATGCCCCTGCCGGCCGACAGGCTGTAGCGCTGCTCCGCGTCCTCGGGCGCCTGCAGGCGCTGCAGGGTCTCGCGCTCGGCGCACAGCGCGCCCTCCCAGTCGTAGAAGTGCACCAGGCGGCGGCCGCGCAGCGCCGCGGGCGTGCTGCACCTGCACGCACGCCAGAAGCAGACTTCAGTGATGTCAAGGTCGATACCACCAGCCTGACTGCCACCAGCCTGACTGCCACCAGCCTGACTGCCACCAGCCTGACTGCCACCAGCCTCCAGTCGATGCCACCAGCCTCCCCACAAGAGAGTGAGTAGGTAGACAAAAGTCGACCTGAACCTTTTTATGCGTCACATGAAATACGATTTTCCACGGGATTTAGATACATTTAAGAACGTTTGTTGCTATTTTTTAAGTTTAATTTTTCTGTGCATACACTACTTTTTACATGAGATTCCACCCAGTTGGAGAACGGACGGGGTGTATCGTTGCCCCGACACGTCCCTCTGCCACCAGTCGGAGGCCTTGATATCACTGGCCTACTTATCCTTTACAACAGAGTTATTTTATTATTTACGTAGTAGTTCACTTAGTGCCCCTTCCCACCGCGCCACTCAGCAGCGCTTCCAAATGGCGCTTCTGCTAGCAAAGCAATGGTTTAAATGGCGGTTTTCCTACGAGTTGCGCTGCTGTGTGATACGAGTTGCGCTGCTGTGTCGCCCGGTGGGAGACTCCCGCCACCAACAGCGCAGAAGCGCGTCGCGCTACCGCTAGCAGAACACAGATCTAAAATGGCAGCTTTCACACGAGACGCGTCACTCAACCGGCCTTTCCCTCTTTTCCCTTTAACAAAAGTTATTGCAGACTGAGATGATTCTACAACGTTTAGTCATATGGCTTTTCAGTTGTTACAAGCGAATATTTTCACACGAAAAATATGCGAAAGGAATGGCTAAGGCGACCTCCTTTTAAAGAATGAAGCAGCGCGAGTATTGAAGTGGGGGAATGTCATATTGTTGACTGTTGATGGGAGTAGTATTTATTTCATTATCTAATATCAGCCAGATTACGGAGGGAGATGTGAAAGGGGAGCCGGTTACGTAGATGATGTTCTACGGGATGCTCTTTTCCTACATTGAAATGAGATGCTCCGGTACCTAGACGTTTGCCTCCTGCCGCCTTCGACCGCCGACGCACATCTGTGTCAGTCGCCAGAGTCCACAGCGG